CGATGACGTCATGTTTCCAAAATGTGAAGAGTGTAATATGTTGCCATCCACTTTTCTTAGCTATCCAGACATGAATGTTTGCATGGTCGTTATTGACGGCTGTTTTAGGTGGGTGTACATTCAATTAGGGACATAAATATGTCATGTGTGTACAATATATTAAGCCTGTTCACGAGTATTTAGATATATTATCATTGAACATTGGCGTGTCTTAGAATTTGAAATTTGTATTTACATGATATTATGGTTTTATTGAAATAGCAATAGATAAGTTGGTAAACTATGTTTGAATTTAATTTATCTGGTGGTAGGTAGGTACAGCTAATTTGAATTGAGTGACATCGTATAAATTATATATTATACGGTATAATATTATATATATAAAATACATCCTACCGTTCTCTCACTTCATATTAAAATTTAAACTATATTTTATTTTAGTGTTCATTGTTTTTGACTTTTGTATCTTTTATCAGATAACACCACATATTTTATAATATTTGATACATTTTAAAATTATTTATATAGTCAATTCTATCCTAAACATTTAAGTTTTGATCATTATTTTTCAATGTCTAACTCGAATAATGTAACTATATTACATAATATAAACTTCATAGTTTTTTAAACCGCATAAGTAATGTTTTCTTAGAATTTGTTGTCTATTATTATACATATAAATATACGATTTTACATTTGTCAGTATGACAACTTTGTTTTTTTAAATTTTAATGGTATTTTCATCCTTCAAAATATTATAATTAATTCCTTTGACTATTTTACTCGTTTCAGAAAAAACAATAACTAATCACATGTTATAATACTATCATTCAATGTTACCAATGCATTGAGTGAAAAATTCGTAAGAAACGTAGTTGTGTAATGTGTGGTAACCGATAAAATTATGTAAACCTTAATATTACCTATATGTAGTGCTGCAATAATAAAAATATTTCTTCAAAAACATAAACGAGTTATTTTTGTTCTGAATTTGTTTTAGTTAGAGGCTGCGAGTCTGAGAAACAAGTAATAATTCATTATAAGTAGCATTGCAGTGGACGTGTATTTTATTTAAATAAAATATGTACGCAGTTCACGTGAATAATAAATTAACATAACAAATAATAACATTTTATTACAGATATGAAAAAAAAATAAGACAAACAGTAATAACACAATATAATAGTAAAATACGATAATAATTATATTATAATAATCGGTATGGTTTTACATTTTGAAATAATGCTCGTCACAAAATATATGATTTCGGTTTTTCGTTTACATACTGCATCGGTGTTTGTATACTGTACGGTAATGACTAATAACTAATAACTTACTTATAACATAACATAATATTATTATATAGATTCTTGTATTATAAATTACAATTCATAGAAGGTATAAAAATTCAATGAAAATACGACATTTTTGTATAATTGTATAATAATATTATAGGTACATTCTATAATACAATAACAATACGCATTTACTTTAAGACACACGGATTTTTGATGAAAAAAAATAACCCAGGAAGTAAATGTGTGGAGTGCATCGGAAGTCAGCCGTAGTTGGACGTCTGATGTTACCATATACAAGGATTCGAGGTCAGTGTGTGAGAAAAGTGTACGCGATGTGTTATGTGTACAGTATAATACTATATTATAATATGAATGGTAGTCGGACGCGGTTAATGATCTGAATATCCACATGCATATTTAAGTCCAATGGCATATTGTGTAGGTTCATGGCAATAAGGCGCCAATTTCGTAGATGACGTGTGTAGACGCGTATCTGAAACGTATGATATATAACTTAACAGTTGTATAATATAAATATCGCACAGTAAATAAAATAATATAAATCACCAAAGACATGATATAAACAGAACATAAATTGAGATTGCTCTACGATAGCCGAACATCTGGTTTATATTTTCAAACTTGCTGTGCGGCTGTGTATATAATACAGACTATACTGGAACCAAGAATATTATAGACGAGTATTATATACTCGAGTAGATAGGACGTGTATTGTGTATGCCTAAGCATTTATATTATATTATTATATTCACTTTTTACTATGCGAACGTACACAACATAGTAAGGATAACGGATATTATATTATTGAGAAATCATTTGCAGTTTGCACACGTTTTATTTGTATTATATATATATACTATTTTATATTTAATCAAACATATAGGTAAGGTGGGCAAGGACTAAAATCGTTTAAAATCTTTTAAAAAATCAAAAGTACCTAATATTAAAATTGAAAATGTTTATCAATGATATTATTCAAAGTTTATATTGAAATTTAAAAAAATCAATATTATATAAGAAAGTAAAAATGTATAAGTGGTATTTAAAACTGAAACTAAAATCAAAAAAGAATAACAGAACACAATTAGGTCGATGGTGTAAATAATGATATAAAATCATAAATTTATAATATTAATATAACATTTTATTAAATTGAAATAAAAAACTTTTATAAAAATTGAAAATTGTTACTTTATTAACAATAAGGCCTGCCAAGCCGTCGAGGGGTATAGTTATGAACTCTTTTTGGGAAATTTCAATGTAAATTGGCTATACATTTACATTTTCGTACTACACTGCAGCACAATCATGTGTCGTATTTTACGGAGCACACTAAAAAGGGAAATAGACGAATAGTATCTAAATCCTGTGAATTTACATGACGGTGGGCGACGAATCACAATATATTATTTATATCATCGAAAAGCATTGTGATGGACGTAATAATAATAGCACCTACCTAATACATTAACAAATTCGACACTTATTATTTTACAACTATTGGAATAATATCATATCGAAACTTTAAGACGAAGATAATTCGTCAGTCGTTTTGTAGGATAAAATTGAGTAGGATACAAAATATATTTAATTGTTTTTATTATTCATACGTTTTTACCACTTACTCATGTGTACCGAATGATATATTTAACGTAAGTCACTCATTATTTAAGAAAGCACTAATGTTTTTGAAAATATTTCTTTTTCGTAATATTTTAAGTCGTTACAATACAAAATTTGTGGAAAAAATTATATTTTTTGTATTTTTGGTGATTCAAAAAATATATCTTGTGATATAAATGATTTATAAAAATGAATTAAAATGTAAGGTGTCACTAAAAGAATTAAAAAATAAAAAAAACTAAACAATGGGGTGAGAAATAATATTTTTTTAGAAAAATGTAACTTTAACTTTTAATCATGTGAAAACACATTTTCAAATACGTTAATAGTTTTTGAAATAATGATAGTGTCTTACACTAAATGGATCACCCTGTCTACACAAATAAATCGGATAGCGTGGCGCATATTCATGGGCGTAGTATACATGGGGGCTATGGGGGCTATAACCCCGCCCCAGAAACTTTTATAGCCGCCTCATGGTGTTTACTTTCGTATTTTACATTTTATCCGAAATTATATTTTTAAATGTTTTTATAATTTTCTTGTCCTATATAGCCCCCACGGCCACACAGATAATTATACCAAACTACGCCCATGTGTATATTGGTGGAGTTGTTGTAATATCGTATGTAGCAGCTATATTAGCTATAATTATTATAACTATCATCGAAATCACTCGGCATGTTTAATTAACTCATACGAAACCATAATAAAATTAATTATGAGGTATACAAATATATTTTTAACATATAATTATTATCGATGTACCTTATTGTAACTACCTATTTAGCTGTGCAAACGGCTTAAAAATAAAAAGTCAGTCCCGAGTAAATAATTCGTAATTGTATTTTGTACACAGTAGCAAGTTCAGTGCTCACGTGTCGGTAAGGCGCAGATAATGTACTTATAATATAATATACACATAGACATTAGGTACGATCATAACAGACACCATAGTTATAGTTTTATAGCCATCATGGATTATGACCGTAGACTGTCACTCGGTCAATTAATAACAATTACAATTGTACGAAAACGAATAGCTCATAAATGTCGTGTATCAAAATATTTAAAAAAAAAAACGTCACATTGGCGGCCGATTCGTGTCGAATGATTCGTCTGTATGCTATGGATTATTATAATAATATGATTTATAGATTTGATATGTGTTTAAGTGTTTTATAGTATGGTAACGTTACCACGGTGACAATAATAATAACATAATATATGACGATCACCGTAGGAATAGGTTTAAAATGCACGTGTAGACGAGGACGAATCCACAACTTACTTAAATTTTTTAAATACTTCTTTGATGAATTTGAAACTATATGTCTACCGGGTGATCCAAATAATTTTATACAATCAACAATTATATTTACTTTACCTACTATATTATTATTAATTAATCAAATAATATTTTTGTATACTATTTTAATCGTTACGTAACAAAAATTACAAAATGCATTTTTTAATTCTTTTTTCGAGACCGAATATTTTTATTTGAGTACTTTTGGTACATAAAATTTCAAATTTTGGTTGAGTAGATTATAGGTTATAAATATTTAAATTTTATCTAAACGATGCGTAGTAGTACATGGTTACCCCGCTAAATGATATATAGTCAACTACTCCGGTTGTCGTAAATTTCAATACTTATAATTTATAAAGTTGTAAGAAACTACTTGTCTACATTTTTTTATATCGAAATACTCCGAATAATATTCTAATTTGGGATATGATATTACGAATGCATATAATTGTCCTTTTAAACAGTAAAAAAATTTAAAAATAATAAATAAAATATTAGTAAAAATATTTTTTTCCAAAGATGTTTTTTTGTAACAAGTTAAAATTATGTTTAATAAATATTTTCAAAAATGTTAGTATCTTCTGAAATATGAGTGTTTCATGTTAAATGGATTTATGCATGTGTGGTGTGAGCTTTGACCTTTAGGCAGGTTCTAGGCCCCCTACCCCCTTACCCCAATCCATTATGGATGTGGTTTTATACTCACATATACAACGAACGGTGTGCAAGTCACTGAACGGATTTGTTCACCACAGGTCGTGGTCTGAATACAGCGGCTTGTGGAAGGGTAAAGGCAGGGCGGGATACGGCCGGCGGACTTCGACCGGGTACGGATGTGGCACTGGGACGCCGACGTGCTTGACCACCGGCACTGCATACGGCTGGGGCACGGGCACCGGGTACGGCCTGTCCACGTGCACGGGGTACGGCCTATCGACAGACACGGGATACGGCTTGGGCACGGCCACCGGGTACGGTCTGGGCACCTCGACCGGGTACGGTGCGGCCACCGGGTACGGGACGTGCTTCTCGACAGTCACCGGGTATGGGTGCGGTACCGGTACGCTCTTGGTAATAGTAGTGGCAGTGTGCACGTGCGTGGGGTAGTGGCGTGGTGCATAACCATAGCCGCCGTAACTGGCTCCTCCGTAACCATACCCTCCGTACCCTGTCCCAATGGCGCTACCCAGCCCGTAACCACCAAGCGTGCCGTAGCTCAGGCCCTCGTCGTAGAATCCACCGCCGCCGCCGTATCCCAGGCCCCACGCGCCGCGTTTCTGCTTGCCGTCTGCCTTGTGGTCCTGGTCTCCGGCCTGAGACTTGTCGATCGACGACACGGTGGTGCACGTGGCCAACGTCACCGAGACAGCCAACAACACAGCAATCTGAAATGTTCCGGCAGTGAGTATCACATGAAAGTAATAATAAATATTATTATCAGATAAAATATTATAATATTAGATGTATCCTTGTATTAAACGTGTACAACAGAACCGTACTTGAATTGCCTATACAATACGCCGTCTATAATATTCTTTAAATAAACTAAATATATACCTATATTATAACATATTACCATTGATTATAAATAATTGTATTTATAATCAATGCTTTTACTTATACGAAAATTTAAAAAAAAGGATAAAATCTAAAATATTAAGTATCTGTATAATTTTATATTTATACATTTTATCAAAGCTCGAAAAAATCACGCAAATTACTTAGTAGTCGAATATGTAACAGCATTTTAAATTTTAGTAGTTAATACTTGAATACTTATAAATTATAATTTATAATACATACCAAAGGTTCCTCATAAGTTGCTCTTTTAGAAATTTAAAATAATGAAAATACATAACACGCAGAGGTTTTTTTTTATAGATATTTGAAGTTAAATGTTGACAAAATTGTAAAGTCAAAAAAATAGAGTAACGATTATTACAAAGTATTATGTTGTAATTATTCAAATATATTAATCGTTGGAACTTAAAACTTTATGATATTATTATTTATTACGCACAATGACATTTTCAAAATATATAGAAACATTTTGGATTTACAGTGAACCTATAGTTTTACGGTAAGTTGGTATTGACTTATGTAAGATAACATCTAGTAACAGTATATGTTATATTTTATAATAATGTAATAATAACATTATTTTATATAATATGCAATTTGTTTTTAGCAAAAATTAGTTCAACGTACCATATTTCTAATAGAAAATAAATTACTAATAGTAATTCTAAGTAGTTAATAATAACTAAGTACAATATTCATAATTACTAATTGTAGCTGACAAAATATTGTTCCACTCTGAATCATATTTTATACCTATGCAATGATTTATCCTTGAATTCGAATTCAACACATCCATTACAGTGAATGACTCAATAATGAGATACACTAAAAGCCTATGATATAAAGCAATTCTCTGTTTTTTTATATACATAAAAGTAACGTTTTAACATATTTTATGACAAAATTAGTTTCTTCATTTTGACTATAACTAGCACTTTAACAAGCAAATTAAATGTATCGTCTTGTTGTATGTCCTGCAACCTTAGAACCCTCAAGGGGCCGATAGGAACTAGTTTTTTAACAATTTTCCGCAATTCAATAAAATTTAAAAAATATATTTAATATTTTAATTGCCATCCTAATTTTATAATACTATTCTACTAATCTACTGCCCGATACTTTTTGGAGAGGGGTTTATACTATGGTGTATTATATCAACAAAAGTAAGTTTGTCTAAGGGTTTGGTGAATTGTCAGATATTCTATAGTTACTTTTTATCTGAGAGAAAAAGACATCCTACAAGCCACATTGAAATCCTATGTTTTAATTTATTTCAAGTACTGGTATACAATAATTTGTGAAAAAGAGCTTAAAATTGTCTTATTTTTTAAGGCACCTTATAAAGTTTGAGTTTAAAATATCGAAAAACGGAGTTCAATGAGGCCTGTAAAATATTACCCTTATTAATAAAAAAAAAAATGATCGAATTTGGTTGATTCTACAGGATAGGATCATCATTCCCGTAAAGTGTATTTTTGCGGACAAAATTACATTGTCACCGGGTGCCTCAATAATTTGTCTTCAATTGAGATTTATATAATAAATATGGTATTTCTTTATTTTGTAGTTTCGTAATATTGCAAACATTATGTTAACTTCTTTATGATACATTGGTATGCCTTTATACGTTTACTATGTATATCATAATATTATATAGTCAAAATAAGTAGACTTTTATTAGAAGAAAATATAATTTATGATGCAGTTTTTTAACACATTTTTCCCGCCTGTCATCATTTGTAAGAATCCAATATCGGTTAGGTATATATTAATATATAGTTTAGGTACGAATTGTAATTTTATATTATATTGTTATGTATTTTTATACTGGCACTTTAAAATGTCTCCGGATGGCGGATAAAATATCAGTATAATATTGTAATCAGATTTAGTCAATATTACATAATACAAATTTTTTTCAATCGTTTTATTTTAAAATTCAAATATGAATACATTTTATTACTGTATATAGTATTCGTACAAAAATCGATATTGTTCAATAAATGGCATTGACCTACACGAACATTCCAGTCCCGCACAGGCATCATAGAGTGTGTTATATAACATTTGTTTATGCAAAATACTATTATATACACCGTCACGCCATATTATAATTTATACGTATATCGTATATGTGGTCCGGAGCTCGATAATATAATAATAAAATTATGTGTCGAACAATATTCCATAATACTATGTACAATCGTGTGTCTGGAAAAAAATATTGAGCTATATGTGTGCAAGACCGATACAATATTATTATTATTAGGTATAATATTATTATAATAATTTAGAGAAATGAAACCGTATGGAATATTCGTAGTAAAAGTCTGTGCGATTCCGGCGATGAATACTAATCTAAATTGACGTTGTGTAACCGATTTCCTGATGACCGAATCGTAACATGCAAACGCTTCTTGGACACTGACCAAGTTTCACACCCGAATTATGTATATTATGGTTGCGACAAGGAATCACGTAGTATACCTAGGTACCTATTATTATATTACAGATATCGGATTTAGGCGCACGCAACAGATTCCTCATTTATACGTACGCGCTTAATATTAATAATAATATAATATGACTATAGTACAAAGGGTTTTATACATATTAAACAATGTTATTCGACTATGTTTATTACAACAACAACAAAAAACTAAAGACATGTACAATATCTTCAACGGTAAGTTTAAAACATATGATATTATGTAAATATGTACTCAAATACTTTGTCTAATAAATAATACATGTGTTTATGATAATTTTTTAAAACGCGTTGTGTTCATCTTAACAATATAATAACATACACAAAAGAAAGTCGATAGAAATTATTATTTTAACTACAATAATGTAATAATATTCATTTAGTAAGTGATCTCGTTGATATAACATCACTAGACTATTATTTATTATGTAGAGTAATGCATGCAGAAATTTATTCTCTGCCATCTATAATAGATATCTATTAATCTATGTAGGAACACATTTTTATAGCAAACAGTTTATTTAAAAATAAAAATTGCTTATTAGAAAATGATTCAAACTTTTAAAACTTTTTTGAAAGAATTATATATTATGCATTCTATTTAATCGAATTTAAAAGTATTGCATACCCTATGGGCTATAATATATTATACGCAGTATGTACAGGCGTAATTTACTAGATGTTAAATTGGTAAAACTCCTTTTTTTATCTTTAAAATAATAGCCGGTTTAACAACACAATATACATAGGCTCAGATAAAAAGATGTGCAAAAATTCAAAATAAAATTAATGAAATTACGTTATTACTGTGGCTCATCGTGCGTGTGCAATTAACTAATCATAAAATTGTAATTGAAATACTATTTTGATTGACGTGTTTTGGCTTAACAATAAAGCAGTAACAGTACACCTTTAAATTAATAACGACCTAGCTACTGTTGACAGAAACCGGTTTTTCTTCTCTATGATCCATAGATAATATTATTTACATTGTACCACAAAACAATGATTGTGCTAATCTGGGAGCATAAAATTAATTATATATGATAACAAAATATAATTTTTATTTTACTTCATTATTTCTGTTTGGTATATCAATTATATATTATGCAATATAGTTTACCCTGAGTCTCCACACAAGTTTTTCTCAGTGTTGTGCAGTATTTCTTTGTTATAAAATAATAAGTAAATTAATAATTATAATAATATTTTTTTTAATTTTACTATTTAATTATTAATATATTTGTATTAAGCAAATCAGTTATGTAGTAAATAAACACTTAAATACATAAAGAAATTTATTATTATGGAAAACATTCTTTTAGTTTTTAGGCTTTATTTAATACTTGAAAATTAATTTGGTGAAATTAATTCTGCTGATTTTAAGAATTTATCTTTATTTGGTCTATTTCTTATTCAAATAGTATTTTGTTGTTGTAATTTTAAATTTATGTAATATTATGTCAATAGCAGTTGTTTCTAACTGTTAAAAAAATCGAACATTCGTGTTTATCATATACAGTATAATACATCACAATTTTAAACATAAAAAGTCAAAATATAACCAATAAAGTTCTCCCTTTATTATATCGATGGATTTTAGCCAAATATTTGTAAAATAACTATTTTATTATTTTATTATTTTTAACGCCGAAATAATAATTCAAGTAAATATATTACGTGAAAAAATCAATCATATATTCATAATATATACTTTTTTTTTAAATTATTTATGAGTATTATATTATATTAGATAGAGTAGGTGCGGTTGTGTGTTTGTGTGTGTGTGTTTTTTTAACAAAGTTAAGTTTATTAAATTAAGTCACCATTGAAACTTTACAATGATACTTATTACCTATACCCTCCTAAAAAATTAAATGTTTTGTATTGTTGTGTTTCAAAGAGTATAAAATATTTGAATAATCGATTACAACCAACAATCTACCAATTCGTCATTATAATGTTCAAAATGTGTATATCTACAGATCATAATAGGAGGTACTTGCATTATATTTTATACATAATATTTACACACGATCAGGCTCCCCCCCCCCACACATCAAATTTTGGGTCCCTGTACTAAATGTTTTGAGGGCCTTATACAAAACTTCCAAAAAAATACAAGCCATTAAAAGCATCCCATACACGATTTCTAGGTAATAATTGGTTAACCCACAGATTAAAATAACAAAATTACTATAAAATAAGTATTCCCATAAAATTTTCCAAAATTACAAATACATTTCAACGGGCTTCAAAAATAGCCTGGCCCCTGTACTCCAGGTCCAACAGCTCATCCTTTGTGTGGGTCCTGTAGACGATTATTGATTACTATAATAACAGTATAACTACTGTCTGTTAATAAACAAAATGTGGCGATTCGTGGCTATAATATCTCATTGTGTCAATAGCGAATAAACAAACTCTTTTTGCTCATATACCGATGCACTTTGCGTCCCGATAGAAGGTAAATATAATAACTATTAACCATAACAATAACAATAATAATAGCAATAATAATATGTATATTAACAGAATAATATAATACGTCTAATAAATCGGTTACTTACCGCGTGATTCATCTCGTTTTTATTTTTAATTAGGACGGAAAACACTGCAGAGATTTAAAAAACGAACAATACACACGTGTACAACCCTTTGTCGTAAACAGCGTACCTATAACCGACGGACGGTTCAAGAAGTTTATTTATACGAAAAAACAGAAGCCGTGGCCCCACCACGTGCGAAACAACGATCGCGCCTTGGCAGAAATACAGAAGCGATACACATAATAATAATAATTTATACGATACATACACCTATATAATAATACGTAGGAACCTATACGAAATTATTTCCCACCCATAGGTTAGATTGTAAATATTTATGATTTTACGTATTCCATTTCTGTTCCCGTGTACAATAATATAAAATATATATTCTGTTATGTTTATACGTCATATTTTGTCATATGGCGTGCATTGCCCGCGGTTTACCGGTTTGCATAGCGCACGCACGAATAAAATAAATTAACGAAAAAATGTCACCATACAAGTTTAATAAATAGTAACAAATTGTATGGAATTTAGCAGTTGTTATTAATTCATAGGCGCCATTTAGACACGTAGGTACTGAAGGGGGTAACGTATGTTGTCACGTAGACCCAGTGGCAGCCCAGTTGTTCGAACACCGATTGAAATTTATTTGGGGTGCTGAGCACCACATACAAATTGTGATCACATTTTTTTTAGTAGGTAGGTAATTAGTAATTTTCTTAAGAAGAAAAATTAGTTAATTCATAAACGGTTTTCTATTTAACGAATAAATTTAAAACATTTATAAAACAACATTCGTGTATAGAGCAAGTATCGTTATGTATCAACGCATTGTCGATGATTAATTAGATGTATCTGAACAGTTTTTAAAGTTTTTGATACAGGATTAACTAATTACCTAACTTTGTTTACCTTGATTAGTGATTACTGATCTTTCAATCAATTTGAACTTCCGATAACATACGTGGCCAGTTTTATGATAGTACCTACTGCAAGTGTACGTGAAACTGATGTACAAAAAAACTTAAATTACATATTATTCACAATTTTACATGGATATTTGAACATTTATTTAATTATATAAATGTGTTGATTACCAGAGGGTTTAATAAGTAGAAAATTTAGTATTTACGTAAAAATAAATTGGGATAAAATAGCTATAACTTGTTATGAATGATACCTTATACATAGCCTTATACCATTGAGTATAAAATATAAATGTATAATATATACTCAATGCTTATAGGTACTAAAGATTCCTAAACTTTTTTTCGTGTAACTATACTGTACGTCATATTTTATAACTTTGGTATAAATTCAATGTTGTAAGTTCCCATAACTATCTGATTATTGAATTGTTTATCATTATCCATGAGGATTACGAGTGTACCTACCAGTGACGGAGTGACGTGTCACCGTGGTGGCTGCACTAATAGAAATTATTTTAAAGATAGCGATCATCAATGAAACATTGAAACAGGGAAAAGCAGGTAAGTAAGTGACACTGTATGCTGTATAGTTCAGGTTACAAGTGGGTCACTGTAATGGATGGTGTTAAATTTTAACTAAATTATATAATATATCGTTGTATAAGAAAAACGATTCTGAGACGGAGACGGTTTATCAGCCTAGGATACTTTATATTATACCTATTTATATTGTTATTATTAATATGGTAGCCAGTAAGTTGAGTTAATATTATTTGCATATTATCATATTTGTATATAATAATATAGTTTAGAAGTTCAAGTATTCGCGGCCCCGAATAATATTTTTAAATTATAAGAAAATATTAAATAACTATAATATCGTTATTCTTGGTTATATTTAATATGTACCTAATTTCGTTCAAATTTTAACTAAAAAAAAACTGTGTAAATATATTTTTTAAATTTTTTTGCTTACAGAATATTATAACTACTATACCGTGAAACATGGTTTTAGCTTTTAAATACTTAGCTATAAAAGTTGAACAATTTATAAGTTTTTAACTACAAAATAATTTGTAAATTTTTAATTTGATAAGTTTTTCCAAAATTTGAACTTTAAATTCTTATAGGCCTCCACTACCATACCTGGTAATTTCTAAAGACGCCTAAAGTGCAAGTGGTGTCGTGATTTGTTATAAAAAATAATAATTAGTAAATAACTAAGTAACCATAGAAAGTGTCATCAATAGGTGGCTCCTTTTATCTAATTAATTTTCCTGCGAATGTTATTTTAGGATATATTCTTATTGTATTAATAATAATATAGATTGTATATTACTTGTAAAAATAAAAATAAAATAAATAATTCTTATAAAAAAAAAATGGACGTATGTATTTTTAATATTTTTAAACTGCTTTTGTAACATTGTGTATGGAGCCTTACATTAAATTTTCAAATCTTAGATATAAAAAGAAAAATTTTTAATTTCTTCTTCCAACAACTTATGAGAAACCTTGTGGCTTATATTACTCTTAAATTTTTTGACTAGAGTAAATAGTTACACAAATAACCAAAATCGATTTTGTCAAAAACCGATTTTGAGTAAAAATTTAGTTTTTTTTGTCTTTCCTGACGCTTTTGAAAACAACTGAGAACTTTACATATTATTGACCTTTCAGAAGGACCAATAGATTCACTTTTTCACAGGAAAATATACTGAAGTTGAAAATGTATCATTATTTTAATTTTGACAACTTGCCTATTGTACCTACACATTCAAAAAAAAATTTAAAAATTAAAATAAACAAACATCATTGCTCACCTCACAATCTAAAACCGTCATTAGCATGTTATGGGTTGCAAAATTTTAAAAATTTCCAACACGGGCCTTACCGAAAAAAAGTTTGGGAACGTCTAGGTTATACTAATTTCTTGGTGTAAAACAGAAAAGTAAAACTGCTATCGAAATAATCAAAATATAATCATAAATAACAATTTAGTTTGGTGGCATCTAATAACAATACAGAGACAGCCGCCAAAAATTAATGACACGTAACATAAATAATAATCAATTACAACTAAGAATCACGTAACATTTTGAGTGGTAAACAAAAGTTGATAAAATTTTACTTTGTAATTTGTGTAACGCACTCACATAATATCTATTAATAAGTAATAAAAAATAACTATAATAATAGTGATAACTTATATAAACAATAGCAATAGTTGTATTATTTGTTAGAATAATTATATATTCATCAATTGTTATAAATTTTATACATTTTTAGCTATAAAATCGTTTTTGAATGTTGTCAAAATTCGAACTTTTAATGATAATAAAAAAAATGTGTGCTTATGTATTTTTAATATTTTTTAACTGCTATTGTAACAATATATCAGGAGCCTTGTATTATTTTTTCACGCTTTTTGACCCAACAAATAAAATTTAATTGATATTTATAGAATTCAAAAAATTTTAAATGTCTGTAAACAGCTTAAAACAAAATATTTTGAAAATTGTATGAAGCATAGGAATTTATAAAATAAACAAATGGTGTACATTTCAAGTAGATACCGATTCGTATTACAACTAAATAAGAAAATCGATACATGAGAAATCGAGTGAATATCCAATGTTGTACTTCAAACGCTCATACAAATTTAATTGGAAATTCTTATAGACATTTATTTTTTGATAAAAGTAGACAAACTTTTGAGAAAACTTGTGTTAAATTTTAAAATTTTAGATTAAAAAAGAAACATTTTTATGAATTTCTAACTCAAAATAATTTGCACATTTTCGGGATTTTTAAGTATTTTGTCAAAATTCGAACTTTAAATGCTTATAAAAAAAAAATTCTGACTATGTATTTTTAATATTTTTATCTGCTTTTGTAACAATATATTAAGAGCATTGTATTAGAAAAGGTGCTGTTGAAGAAAATCTAAGTGTCCTAAAAGGTGATGAAAGACACAAAAAATAAAACACACATCATTGTAAAATCAATCATAATCTAAAATTTAAATATCTTACGTACAACTACTTTTTACAAAATCAATTTTGGTATTATTCATAGGGATTTATATTTACTATACACAATTATATTTTCAAAATATTCAGATTGATTTTAAGTGATTGCCTTTTTCTATTTATACAATAAATTATACTACTAAGCGATCTAGGTTAAGTCAGTATTAACTCAAAATTGAATTACAATAACCTACGATATAAATTAGTACATTTATAATTTATCTATTAGATACAAATGATTTGTATAATATTTTATCTTACACATATTTAATTTTTTAATTTTTTAAATTACAGATATTACATTGATGAAATGTAATTCAAATTACAAGATGCAAAGGGGGTGATTATATTGTGGCACGAGGTCGAAACCTTCAGAGGGGAGGTTGTTGTGCGAAGTACGCAGGAGATATTTACTAAAAGTAAAATACAACTTTATAATTATAAATAATATGATATTCCTAGAAGGTAATATAGGCTGAGTATTAGACTGAGAGTATAATATGATAATCATTTATCATCGGAATCAAATTTAACACACACATTACAGTGACAAATTTAATGACGAGGTACACTCGACATCTACTTTACAGTACAGCGGTTATCCGTACTTGCCCGTTTTCGATTAATTAGTTTTTTTTACGTCTGTGGATGGAAATATATTAAGAAAAGGTTATCATAATATTGTGATAAATGGCCATTTTTCCTGTTTATCTGTATTGTTCCATTTTAAGTTCAATATATAATTACTTAACTACTTAATGACGAAATAAAATTAAAATTATTACAAAATGTTTATAAATATTGGTATAAAATTATTTTCAGAAAATGGTTAAAACATATTTAGATAGGTACTTATAATATGTCGGTTACATGCAACACATATTATATTATATAATATAATAAGTCTTAAATTCTCCAATCATTAAAACATGGTCATTCTTCTTAGTATTCATTATAGACTATATTGTATTTTTTTTATACATAATTATACACGTCTTATACTATATTATAGGTACACTATTAACATGTACATTAATGTTTTTTTCTCAATAGATAATTATTGTTA